CAAATTTTAAAGCGTGCTTTTCTCACATTTTCTGGTCGTAAATTGATCAGACTGTATGAAATATCATCCAGAAAAAAAATATTACTCATTCTGGCACAGATTGGTGGGCTCCCAAAGTACACCGTTTTGTTTTGCTCCGTGAGACCGAACTTGTGCTGCGATTTTCATGTAAATGTTGACGAGTCTCCTGTCATATTCTTTGCTTAAAAATGCGTAAGTAAGATATCAGCTGAAAGGGGAAAATGTGCGGAATCCATTGGTAACAAAAGTGCATCTAAAAAACTTCCCACTCAGTTATTGTAAGCTAATTGTTGCACACTTGCACACTTACTTACTTACTCCTCGGCGACAGCTTCGTCGACGGAACGGGAGCCGAAGATCCGCCTCCATGCCGTCTCCGCTCCTCCCAACGTGCAGATGTCGGCCAGGGTTCGTCGAGACACCGTCCCGCACGCGAGCTGGCACGCCATCCTCCCACGGGGGCCGCAGAGACCCGATCTCGCGATCCAGCCCGGCCTCAGACCGACACGGGCCATCCTCCCGACTTCCGCTTCTCCTGGATTTGGCTTCCTGGCATCGTCAGTTTCCATCTTGAATTTGAGTAGTTGCTGGAAGTCGGAAGCCGAGAGGACGATCCTGCTGGTAGCGGGCGCGCCATTGCCCGCCAGCCGGTCTGCCTTCTCATTGACCTCCACGCCAGCGTGGCCGGGGCAGTAGAGCCAGGTGATGCGCCTGTCTGTCCACCATTCAGGGGGCGACACGCCGCCCTCCAATTTCCGCAAGAGAGACTGCGAGTCAGTGGCGACGACAATGTGCTGACAGTCGGGTAGGAGCTGATTCAGGGCGTTCAGTCCAACAGTGACGGCCTCCGTCTCAGCCCGCATGCTCGAGAGCACGAGCCGCGTAGCTCCCGATACGCTTTGGGTGAGTTCAGCCGAGCGGATGAAGCAGCCCCAGCCGCTCCGGGGAAGGGGCTCCCGGATGACTGATCCGTCGGTGGCCAGCAGCGCGTCGCCCTCGGCCATCAGCCCCTCGAGCAGACTCTCAACTCCACGTTGGCCACGCCCGGCGGCCACTCACGGCAGGACCTGCCGAGGCTGTGTTGTGAGATAATTGTCCACAGCTCAGCGACGCCGTCAGGTGTAGGCTCGAACTGCGGTCGGGATCGAAACTGGTGCCTGCCGCGGAGCTCGCGCAGCGTATCGGACGCCCTCCTCAGCCATCCGGCCCTACGCAGACGCCGCAGCGGGGGACGCGTCACCAGGCCGCGGGCCACTTCGTGAAGCGGATGTTCATGACTCTCTAAAGCTCTCGCGACGGCCTTGACTCGAAGGGTCTCCACCTGCTGGGGCACAGACTGCAGATTCGCCATGTACCTTAGAGTCGCTCGGGCGGTGTCACGAGTGCAGCCGGTGACGATCCGGAGCGCTGCGGTCTGTACACGATCGAGCTTCTCCAGAGCCGACGCGGTCGCCGTGATGACCTCCGCGCCGTAGAGAAGGCGACTCTGTACGAGAGACCTGTATAACTGGAGCAGTCGCGCCTGGTTGACTCCTTTACGCTTCGCCATCTTCAAGACGCCGAGTGACCTGGTGCAGCTGCTGACGACCTTCTCGACGTGAGTATTGAATGAGAGGCCCTTGTCCAGAGTGATGCCGAGATGAGTCACGCTGTCCTCGCTGGGAATTGGCCGGCCGGCGTATCTGAGCTGACAGGGGGGCAGCGCCCGCTTGCTGAGAGAGAAAACGCAGGCGGATGCCTTCGCTGGGTTGACCGTCATACTGGCCCGTCGGCAGATGGTGTCCAGGCTGTCCAGCGTCTCCTGCATCCGGATCTGTAGGAGGTCCAGGCTCTTCCCGGTCGCGACTAATAGTAGGTCGTCGGCACAAAGCAGAAGGGCTTGAGGATTTCAATATTTACATGGACCTACCAAAAAACGCACAGCGTGCTTCACATCGAGACAACGTCCATAACATATACTGTACAATTGTAATTCATTTGCTGAAAAAATTAGGTCGGTATCACACTGCCGGCAAAAGTTATTGCAGTTCTAGTGACGCTAGGTCGCCGCCCGGCCGACCCCGGTCAGGTCGGCCGGGCGGCGGCCGTGCAGCTGACGTCCGTGCGGTTCGGCAGCTGACCAATCAGCTGCGAGAGAGGAGCGCGGTCCGTCTAATCGCCCCCGGCAGTTGCTTGTGCGGAGGGGTGCTCGACGCTCGTGTCGATTGCATTTGTTGGTTGTCGATTGTCGATTGACTTGTGGATATACTTTCTGGTGACCAATAAATGTACGTCGTCTTAACTGAATGTAGTCTGATCAAGTTCAATAAATCAAAAAGACATCCAGCCAACAGAACATGGTAAGAACGTCCGATATGGTTGATAACATTCTGAGTTTTGGGGAGCAGCCATCGACCAGAATGAACCTTATTGGCTTTTGTACAGGGATGCGGAGCCGTGGAATTTTCAGACAGCTTCGGCTCCGGCTCCGGCTTCGGAGAAATAAAATCGGCTCCGGCTCCGGCTCTGGCTCCGGGTGAAATGTCATGGCGGCTCCGTCTCCGGCTCCGGCTCCAGGCAAAAATGTGCCGGCTCCGGTGGCTCCGGCTCCGGCTCCGCACCCCTGCTTTTGTATGTAACATTTGCATTGCTTTTGGAAAGTTTCAGTTAGATATCTTCAGAAATGGCAATGTTATCGGCTTTTGCATTTTATCGTAGTTCGGTTAATCACAATTTTCGATATTGCAAAGGCAATTTCAGTACGTTCTTGACATCGAAAACCAAAACGAATAGTATCATCGTGTTCCAGAGCTCAAATTGCATCCGATGCACATCTTTTTTGTTGAGAATGTTCAACTTCAAAATTTGACCTTTTTGACCTCGCCGTGACCTGACCTTCATTTGTCGAATGGAAATAGTTTCGAATCGGACGACCCAGATGACATCATTTTTAGATGCTTTTGCCGAAATGGACCATAAATGATGTGTCGCCTGACCTTAAAAAATGTATGCATTTCCTTCCATGACCTTTTCCATGACCTTTTGTGACCCATGACCTTTCCATGACCTTTTATGACAAAGTTAGGTTTCGTTTGTCAGCTATTCCTATCAGAAGCCGTTTGAATTTTTAGTATTGAACGAGTAGTTTCGAAGACAGCAGGGAAGCTATGCCCCTCCCGAGTCACCCACGTTATGGGATATACTCGTCATCCGCGGATTACAAGCAAAAATATTTTTTACGGCAATGCTGGATCAGCAGGATGCTCATACGTTTCCATACGTGACCTTAAGGTTTACTTCACATATAATAAAAATTCCTTGGCAAAATGTCAACTGGTTAACGAGGTATCGCATTTTGGCCACTTCCGAACTCAAATAGCGGCTGTGTGCGGCCGAGCGGACCCCGCGCGGCCGGTCGGCCGGCCCTTTCCGCAGCGAGCAGAGGCTCGTTTTCAGTGACGGACGACGCACTCGGCGGGCCGGCGGCACTCAGCGGGCTGGTTCACAGAGGAGAGCCGACAGGGTGCGGCCGGCGCCGGACCGCCCGTTTGTCCGTATTTACAAACAAACCGAGGAGCCGCCGCCGTCCTCGTCCGGCTAAATCACGGTCCGCACGCCCAACCGCCGTGTTTTCATCGTCAGACGATAAACAATCAGCACGGCCGCACAGAACGGTCCCACAGGCCCGGCGGGAATGGATAGTGGCCGTTTGTGGCCCGCAGCTTGGGAATATCGCGCCGGTTGTGGGCCGTCGTTTTTTACTAGACAAGTGTCGGACCGCATTTGGGTGTCTTACGACGTGGTACGCACCGCCGGCAACTCACGAACTGATTGATACACATTGCTGCGGTGCAGTTCGCAGCGCGGTGGCGCTCTTTTATGGTCTTTTACGTCCACCCCACACGGCTGCAGAGGAAAGTAACGCGTCGTGTCCATTCTCGTTTCTCTCGTGGAGAGTCGATACGTCACTCGGAGTCCTGCTGTGTGGGCGTTTATGCTAAATTTATCGCCCTCTCGCCGGTCTTTGTTTTCCTTTCCTGCAGTGACCGGCGGTAGCTTTCCTCCCCGTCGGGTTCCATGGAACTGAGATGTGTTTTCCACTCACTATCAGTGCTTCCTGTAAGTTCGATTTCCTCTCTCGAGCTCTGGTTTCATCTCTCGTCCGCCTTTGTTTTCTTGAATTCGATCATTTCATCATTCTCAGACTGCTCACCTCGACGACTGAACTTGTGATAACACCATATTTGGGGAAAAGTATTTCCCTGTAAGAGCTTACGACATGAACCGTAAATGGCATCAGCGGCTGTCGCGCCTCACGGCTGCAGTAAACACCGGTCCCGTGCAGCTCACGGCGCTCGTCGGCGGTCGGCTTTGGTCGGCTCAGTCTGTTAGCGGTCACCGCGGGCCCGTTTGGGGCTCAGGAGTGGCCGTTTGGCCGGAAAGCCGTCCCGATGGCGTGGGAAAGATCCCGTCACGGCGCGGGGCCGTCGGCGACTGAAGAGCCGCGGTGGAACCTGACGGCCGGCGCGGTCCGTGTCTCCTCCATTTGTCCCCTGTGTGCGTGTGTGACCGTGTTTATGTCCTGTGCGTCCCACGTATCGATATTCTATGCGTCTGCGTGCCGCGGACCGGCTCCCAGGTCGCACGTTCCGTCGTCCGTCAGTCACGCCACATTTGGATTATGGGCCATCCGTCTCTGGGCGCGTGCGTGTGCGTCGGTCGTCGCCTGAGGACTGTGCGTGAACTGAGGGGTGGGTGACCGCTATGTGTCTCACCGCTCACGCCATATTAGGCGTACTTTCTTGAAACTGAATAAGGCGCGATGGTACTAATTTATACACGAACTGCCACAAGCCCTGGGTCTCGACAAGCCATGTGTGTTAGTTTTGTGTGTGTAGGCAGACTGGATAGCTGAAGTAGTCATTCAATAGGCTGTTGCACTGTATGTAGACAGGTAACAGAAGCCTTGCCGTGCTGACGCTGTGTCTCCTCTATTTCAGACCTGCGGCTGCAGCTCAATGAGCAGCTGCGGAGCCTGGACCTGCGGGTCGACACACAGACGGCCGTCGTGGCCGAACTCCAGGTGAGGCGAGAGCAGGTTCAAGGGAGTTTGGCGGTCAGTGGGGCTGCGTTGAGGGTGTGTCGTGCATGAGGGCCGGGCTTAGGGGCGAGACACAGAGGTTAAAACAATGTTCGAGATGTTTCGAGAATTTCTATATACCTGATCAGTTATTACGCGGTAATAGCTTCCAAAGAGCCCGCGACCAGTCCTGATAGCCGGTGATTAGCTGGAACTCATTTTTTTCGAAGTCCCTCGAGTCATTTTCCTCCAGCGCTCCGCGTCTTAAACATTCCATCCGTGGTTAATCACCGACTACCCGGGCGATCGAACCACGCCCTACCCGGCGCCGACTCGCTCCCCCCTCCTCCCGACTGCCGGGTTTGCCAAACCAGACCAAACCCAGACCTAGCTGCGGCGGCGGGCCGGCGGCGGCGGCAAAAACGCGCGGCCGCCCGAACTGTCGGCCGGCGCGGCGAGCTTGCGCTGGTCCCGCCGCCGAGGTGCACCGCTGGCGGCCCGCCGGCCGTGCTCCTGTGCCGCACACGTGTGCGACATGCCGGAATGGCCGCTGCACGCCGCTCCCGCTCGTCATGCCGCGGCGAAAGTGGCCTTCAATAGACGGCCGACGCACGCCGACCCGGGGCGCCTCGGGTGCGCGCCGCTCCGACCTTCCGCGTCATTGCGTCATAACATACTCAGAGCGGTCTGATTTGGTAGCCGTCTTTCAGTCGAGCCGTCAGTTGTAAATTTATCGTATTCTGGTAACGTTTCATCATCGGTGCTGCTCTCTCTAAAGTCCTCTAAAGGCGCCCAGACTCGCCGTCTCACACTGGTGAGCGGACGCTGGATGGACGGACGAGGGACGGCAGACGGACCAGCGACGGAGGGTAGTCCGGAAGCGCTGATGATAGTCCGCTGTCGTCACGGCGGAGGCTAAGGATAGGGCACCCTCTGTCTACGAGCAGCTCTGAGGTTACTAGGAACACAGCAGCGATGGTTGCTGGCTGCTGCTGCTATCGCCCTCTCCGTCGCCGGCGGTGGCGGTTGCGGTGGCGGGGGTCTGTCTGATCTGCTAGGGATGTGTTGTCGCACGGCGCAGTTCCCGTGAAATACCCCGTGACGCAGTTTCGCTGGCGGAGACGGTGACGGAGACGACGGCGCCACGGTCGGGTGGTGAGCTTCAGACGGCGGCGGTGGTGACGCGACCGGCGCGGCGCCCCTGTGGCAGCGGCGGGGAGGGTGGGGTTGAAGGCCAGATGCTGTCTGGGGGTCCGCCGATTCTCGCAGCAGAAGGGTGTTCGATCACCACCAGCCGAGGAGGGTGTGGGAGGCTGTTATCGCATTATTCCTGTCAGACGGTGCGTCCAATTGACCCAAGGCGAAGCCAGTTTGTGCTGTCGTTTTTCTCCTGTCTGTGCGTGGGGCCGACTGGAGCCGACTGGCCTCGGTGCGTGGCGCCGCTGTCTGTTGTCTCCTCGCCGGCTGACAGACGCACGGTGTTTGTTCTGCCATTGTTGTCCGGCGCCGAGTCGTCAGTGGTGGCCGCTGGCGCAAAGTCGTCTGAGGCGGCCACTGCCGCCGTTACGCCGTCGTGGCTGTGGCGGAGAAATGGCGGTGCGGAGACAAACAGCTCGCGAAACTCTCCGCTGCCGAGCGGACTCTGAGAGAGACGACCGAGTCTCATTCGCCGGTGGAAAGTGTGAGAACGCACGGCACTTTCCACGGCCGCGCCGGGGTCGTGCGTGCCGGCTGCCGCGCCGCGTTTGGAGAGTGGTCGCGGACCGGAAAACCTCCGGCTGGCCTCTGCGGTGTGCCGGCGCCTCAGCTCCTGATGCGGTTACGCTCTGTGCATCTGTGCGGCGCTGACAGCCGCTGATGGGTTACGGGAAGGCGGCCGGCTGCCGGGTGCCGCCCCCGCCGGAGCAGGGGTGATGAACGAGCTACTGTGCTGCGCGCGGCGCGTCGACACGGCGACTGTCCGCCCGCGCCGGCCGCCCTGCTGCCGGCTCACCCCTCACCGTCGTGCCGGTCGTGCCGTGTACCAATCCCTCAGCCCCAGTCCCCGTCGGGGGTATCGCATTTGTCACCGAGCGCTCAGAGAACTCCGGTAGGCCGGCGAGGCTGAAATCGGAGCCGGCTCGCGGAGCATTCCATGCGTGGGCGACATTTTGAAAAGTGGCTGCACTGGAATGCGGTGCCGATCGGTTTTGGCACGTTGCCGCCGCCACTGGAGTGCCGTTGTGTCCAGTCGTTGCTCGCGATAAGTTGCGCCACATTGTTCACCCATAGGGTGAAGTCGTATAAGAGTACGCACTTAGTGGATTTCTTGCTCTCATTTGTTTAATATTTGAAGGAAAGAAATCGCAAATAGGGTTCATCAAATATTAAAGTTCATTGAATTAGCCATCAACCCATGGGGCAACGATCCTTCAGCGTAAATGGAAGTGGTCTAAAACTGACATTTTCTGAACCGTTGCACTTGCGTACTCTTACCATATGGGGTGTGTAAGAGTACGCACGCCAGGCGGGTGGAGTACGCAAGCATATGAACACACACCTATGCAGCTTACACTGTCCAAATGCTTAACTTCAAACTCAGAAGGCATTTAAGTTAATTCTAGTATCCAAAAAGAAAAACATAAAATAAATCTTTCAAGTCTATAAATCAGGAAATAATCATGTCGTGTGTTTCTAAAAAAAAATGCACAATCAAAAAGGAGAATAACTCGTATTTGGAAGAATTTCGGGTACGCATCTGCATCACAGTGCTCCATTGATGATATACCTACAAAACAAACGTCATTGAGCGATAGATTAATAATTATATATTTCTGTATATTCGATTTAACCCTCGCCCATGTAGGGGGGGGGGTTGGTGCAACCCCCCTGAGGTTTTTCGGAAATAGTGCAAAAACGCGCCGCGCCGCCAAATTTTGGGTACCTTATGGGGCAAACCTTGCGCATCTTTTGATAAAAAAAAATTGACCGGGTCATGTCAGGTCACGGAGTTATGACGTCACAAAGGGAACAGCCTCCGGCCGGATTTTCACAAACTGAGTGCCAACGCCCGAGGTTTCCTGCCGGTGGTACGGACATCGGTTGATGGATCGTGATGAAACTTCCCATGCATGTTGGGGCAAGTATTGGCTATCATATGGTATAAGAAACTTGACCGGGTCAGGTCAGGTCACGGAGCTATGACGTCACAAGAGGAACAGCGTCCGGTACTATTTTTGAAAAGCGCCCGAACCACTATTTTGCTAATTCTTGTCACCTCAATGGGAATATGCAGCAATATTAGCTTCTATAGGGAGCAAATGGACCTTCCAAATCCAAAAATACAATCAGATTTCAAAAATTTAATTTTGATTTTTCGAATTTCTGCCGCCGACTGTGACCTTGCCGACTTCCGGCGCTCCCAACGCGCCATTTTTAGAGCTAGGGAAACGAAATACATACCAAACGATAGAGAATTGATCAAGGAACACGATAGTGATGGTTTCAAGTCGATATCTCTCACCGTTTTGCCGCAATCGCCGCGGAAATTTGAAAAAAGTCTATTTTTCCGAAAATTTGACCTTTGACCGGTCAAAAGTAGGTCAAATGTTGACCTAGGACCAAAAAATATACCACCAATCGCGAGATCTCGGCGAGAGCAATCCGTTGGTCTTTTCCGCTAAGCTCTACGACGCTCCGTTTTCAAACGCCAAGGGGGGGTCGCACCCCCCCCCCCCTGCATGGGCGAAGGTGGCAGATCGCCGTTTACGGCGAGGGTTAATGTATAATTCTGCGTACTCTTACCCTCCTGAACAGTGCGTCCTCTTACCGTGCATGCAATTCGCGCACAAAACAACCCCGAAACGTTGTGCAAAACTTCGCAAACAGAATATTGCACTGTACAGTATTTCCCCAGATAACCTCACAAGTTTCCCACAACAATCACGGAAATGTACCTCATCTCAACTGCCAAGTATCAAAATTATTGTACCATATCATAATAATATCATAACGCCCGAAAATAATATTCATCGCCTTAAACTCAACAGCGTCGCCGCTCAACGCCCACGTTCCGTTGGTGACATGCACGCACTGGCGGCTTCATGTCACTTCATGAACTCGACAAACCTGCGTTGCTAAGCAACCGAAACAGCTGATGCGTACTCTTATCGCCCGCGTACTCTTACCCGCCCTTACCCTATTGCGTCTGTCGTGACCTGCAAAGGACAACGACGCACCACGCAGCACTCTGATCACATCGCGCCGCGACAGACCGGATCGCGACACCATCCATCATCCAGAACCAGTCCCGCGGGCGCGGCCCTTCCGCGTGTGACCACTGACCGCCCTCTCCCGCCCTCGCAGGCGACACCAGAGACCGGTCAGTCGCCCACGCCACCCAGCGAACAGCTCTCCGCGTGAAACCTTACTCACTCCACCCGGGCCGTAAGCCGTTCCTCGTAACGGAGCACCCGTAACCCGAGCGACCCGAGTGACGGACGTGGCGTACGGGGAAACTCCGTGACCGGGCGGCGGTGTTTGCGGACCGCGGTATTGTTTCCAAGCAGAATCTCGCGTGACTGCGGCCGCAGCATTCCTCGGAGTAGTGGGACGTTTGGTTAGTTAAACGTTTTCTGGCTGCGTGAGTAAACTCGATCAGACTCTTTAAATGGGACAGGAAAGATATCCCGATACCTGAAACAGTCCCTTGGGTTCTGCGAGAGGAAAGTTGAAAGCATAATCCCAAATCACATAAACAAACCATTGGGCGTCGGCGATTATCTTATCAGGCGTGGCGGGCGCCGGTTTATCAGGTGTGGTGTCCGCCCACCGACTGGGCGGCGGGTCGCAGAGCGCGCAGCCCGGCCCGCCGCCGCCAGTCTCGGCCGCGGGGCGGATAAGTTATTTGTGCGTGAAACGCTGTTGGATGGAAAGTTGATGGCTGGGCGGGCGGACTGGCGAGGTGTAGGCTGGTAGGTGGAGATGACCGATGGTCCATGAGCGGGATCTTGGACGATCTTGGTATCTAATTTCCAGGCGTACCGCAATCCGCCTAGAGTGATGCAAATTTATACTACTACTCCGAGGGGCTTGTAACGAGCTTTGGATAACTGGTGCGTTTGCACGTGCGTTTGCACTCCAGTTGACGCCTCCCTCAGTCCCATCGACAACCATTGCATTGCACCATACCAGGGAGATTCATTTTGATGCTAAAATGTATTTTGCCTGTGGCTGTTGGCCTGCAGTCTGTTGGACCGTGTGCTAGACGGTAGAAATTGATAATGGATTCCCAGCGGGATGCTGTCTGCGATAATAGAGAGTGACACGGCGTTCGGCCGTATACGGCCGGGCCTGCAGCGACGGCGCTGTATCGGCTGCCTGTCTGTCCATATACGGCTCGCGCGCGTGCTCCGTCAGTCGCCGGACGGCCGTCTGTGATCGCCGTCATGTGTGCCGTGCCGTTCCCGCCCGATAGTATCGCTGTTTACCGGCAGTCCGGGCGCTATCAGAAGATGGGCCGCTGCCGTATCGAGACATCTGCTCTCTGTTTGGGTGGGTAATTCCGCGCGGCGGCCGGCGCTGGACGCGGTACTCCCTCCTATTATCTCTCGGCAGCCATGGCGCCGGGGCCGCTGTGTGAGCCCGTTTTTGTGAGCCGTGCTGTTCTGTCTGTTCCAGGAGTACTTCCGCCGCCGAGCCGAGGTTGAGCTGGAGTACAGCCGCAGTCTGGACAAGCTGAACAAGTCGCTGTCACAACGCCACAAGGATCTCAAACAAAAGTAAGGAGCGGTGCCGTTAGCCGGCGCCACCGAGCCGCGTCCCCGGCTGCTGCTCGGTTCCGCGCCGTCCGAAAGGTTCGGTCCGTGACGAATGGGTGACTCTCGCTACGGCCGTTGAGTTCGTGGTTGTCTCGCTGAGCCGTCTGCTGCGTATTTGCCAGCGGCTTAGTATGATAAACTGTGGGTATACTTCGAGTCATTGTGTTAATGGTGACGGCACCGTTACTTCGACCAGTAGTGACCGATTGTGGTGTAATTATGGGTTATCTCCCTGTGTTTTATCTGATTATCCTCGCTATGGCCTGCGCTATAGTCGTGTAACGCCCTCGCTCTGCGCGCACTAGCGTTCGTGACGCCATACTGAACTGATGGTGGGGCTGCTTCCCACCGCCTAGCTACTATCACACCAGAGCGTCACACGGCCAGTGCGGACTCCGCTCGGCGTGACGGTCCCATCCGGACCGTCACGGTCGTCACGCTGCGTGTGACTCGCCGTGACGCCTCCCGGGAGCTTCCTCAGAGCTGCGCCAGCTCAGCCGGCCGCACCGAGCCGCCCTGTCTGCGGCTGGCCTGGATTCGGGCGTACAAAAACAGCTCGTCGACGGCGAGGCACCGGCCCGGCATCGCGGCGGATTGACGAGCGCCCGCCGCGCCGACAGCCACCTGACACCCGGGCCGGCGCGGCAGACGAAGCGGCGGCAACTGACATACGGCAACCGCAGCATACACGGCAAAGGCGCATCACAGCGACGGCACGGACGCGGCACCGGCAACAGACACAGCGACGACAATAGACGCGGCGACCGCAACAGACACAGCACAGGACAGACACGGGACACCGGGCGGGCGAGGTGGCAAAGAACAACCGACTCACTGCAGCGGTGCTAATCACGGCAACGGCGGCACACCGGTCTCTCTGGGGATGTCTGCCGCCCGCCTCTGTAAGTCAGCCGCAGCTCGTTTCGAAGTACTGCTGGGGTCTCCCGTCGCTGGCAATGTTCTATCCTCCCGTTGTTTGGCTGGTGTTTTGTCGCTGCTCGTGTGGCAGCTCCGAGTCCGCCAGACGCGTCTCGTCTCCCCTGGGCACGTTTCTTCCTCGTCAGTCTTCGGCGCGATGTTTTGTCCCGGCGAGAGTGTAGCGTCTGGCATCTGTCTGGCCCCGCCGTGTGCTGCTCTCTATCGTCCCCAGCGTTGAGCTGTGTGTGTGGACTGGCCCGGTTATCTGCCCGTTGATTGTCGGGCAGGATGCAGAGAAGTGCGCCTGACTATTGGACCGCACCGGTGCGCCCAGCGGACGCTGTTTGCCGGACCTACCGTGTCAACGGTGGGGTGGTGCTCGGTGCGAATTTTCACCGGCTCGCTGACTGAGTGCACGAGTCACGGCGTAGCTGCAGTCACAATGCGTGACGGAGTCAGTGACTCCGTTCGGATGCAGTACTCCGGAAGTAGTCATGTGTGATAATGCAGGGTGCGACGTGTGGGCGGCGTATCAGTGGGCACATCACAACACACGTTGACAACATCACAACACACATGTTGTGATATGCCCACTGTGCGATATCACCGTAATGTGTCATGCCATGGGCTCTCTTCTGACCGCGCTGTGCCCTCCCCTCCCGCTGGGAGCCGATCTAATGGCGTCATCGTGTCACCTCTGTCTGTGCCGGCGGCGGCAGCTGGGCTGCTGGCCGCTCAAGGTCACACAGGGGTGACGGCCGGCCCGCATCCCCGGGGTCCTTATCTCTCGCGCTGCTCAATTATCCCGCCGCCGCCGCCGCCGCCGCCGCCGGTCGGCAGCTGCCAGTCTGTGTTGGCAGCCTGGATCTGCGCTATCGGCCTTTATAGTGGCGTCGTGCGCCGCACGGTGATGATAGGCCGCCGCGCGCTGACCCGGCGTGTCTGTCATCGCGCCGGTCATGGTCAGTTGTGTGGGGCGAGAACCGGCCCTTGTAGGAGGCGGAGTCATGTCTGTCGCGAATCGGTTATCGGCGATTGGTCACGCTGCCCGACCCAGACACGTGGGGATATTTGGCAGGAAGGAGGCCTAGACGAGAGATCTGACTGAGGAATGGTTAGCTGTGTGAGTTTAGACAAGGAATTAATAACGGCGATATTTCATAGAACGAGGCGCCTGGGCAGTGATCAGCCGCGGCATCAAGATGCTGACAATGCAATTGGTTTCGCAGATTGGCTATTGTCTATGTGCAGGGGGCATTTGCTTGTCATTCTTCTGATTGGATGCCGGGAATGATGTCCGCTATAAACAATGCCAAAATGTGATTATCCAGTGCGGTGAACGCCTTTGGTTTGTTTTATGCTCATTTTATTGATCTCATCTAGTTTCTTTTGTCATTCGCATTCAATAGCCTATCTCCAAACGTCATGCATACATCAGTGAGTTATGCAATACCTATGATTCGATCTCATCTCTCTTATCTTCGGGTAAATGTGCATGCTATGCTATTTTGGGAGTTGTGCTGAGCCGCAATCTTCAAATCCACATAAGATGTCACTGATTAGGAACCGGTTTGTAAACGGCTGCAAAATATCTTGTTTTCAAAACAGCTCATGCATTGCAAGCCCAAATCATATGCAGTTATGCTAGAATGGACATTGAAAATGCCGGCATCGCTTGTTCGATCGACTGGAATCTTCTAATCTTTCTACCGTTTTCGGCCGTTTATTGTGCATTCCGCCAAACGCATTTTATTTGATAGACACCACACAAATATACTAACATTTAGGCTTTGTTTTGTTTTGCAGTACGATGCACAAGCTGTTGAATATTCATCCGTTACCTGAGCAGTACACCACTCACCTTTCAGACTCTCCTCTCCCGGCTCTTTCCTCACCGGACCTGGGGCCTCTCTCTCTCTCTCTCTCTCTCTCTCTCTCTCTCTCTCTCTCTCTCTCTCTCTCTCTCTCTCTCTCTCTCTCTCTCTCTCTCTCTCTCTCTCTCCCCGTAACATTGTGTTCGAGGCATCTTAATTGGCTCCGGGCCGGTGTTGGGACGACCTTGGTGCGGACAGACTGGTGGCGGCTGGTGACCACACCCGAATCGGGTGACGACAGACACAATGCTGGTGCTGGTGACGGTGATGTTGCTAGTGCTGGTGCTTGGGTGGTGATTTGATCATGAATGTGTTGGTACTGGCCTGGGTATTCTCATTGCGATGGCGATGGTGGCTGGGGGTGACTGCCGATGCCGATGCTGAATCTGATCATCACTTAACCCGCGCCCTGGTGGGGGGGGGGGCTATTTTTTGCCCCCCCTCCAGACTTTTCGATATATCTCCAGAACCGCTGCGCCGATCGTAACCAAACTTTCAGTACCCTCCCGGACATCAATTTTACATATGGTGACCAAAAATTTTTCCAAAGGCTATGATAGGTTGGCCGGAAATGACGTCAGAGTGACGTCATGTTCTGCCGTTTTCGACCCAAAAAAGGGTTTCGCGGGAAGAGCTGTCAGGCCTATAGCTTTGCAAATACAGAAAAATGATAAGAACATAAAAGCTGTAGAATTGATAGGGCTACAAAACTGCTATCTCGGATTTTTGAAATTTTTGGATTTTGACCCCCAAAAATCAAAAAATAATTTTTTTGGATATAATGATCGAAAAATCCAAAAAGTTTTTTGAATTTCGCAAAAACCGGAATATATGTGATAGTCCTTACCGCCTTCCATCCACATACCAAATTTGAGATTGATACCTCTTTTTTTGGCGAAGTTATAGTGAAAAAACTGTTCAAAATTGATGACGTCAAATTTTCAAACTCAATTTTTAGCAATTCTAGACCCCGTAGCGCAAAACAAAGACCACCATTAGACTCCCCGTGACGAGCTGCATCGAATCAATACCCATTTTATGCAAAACTATCAACTTTAAAATTTGACCTTTTTTGGTCTGAGCTTGACCTGACCTTGACCTAAACTTCACCAGAAAGTGACCTAAGCCGTACCTGATAGTCTTATAACCAACACCATTGAGTTGGAAATGAAAAATTGGCCATAAAACATGCATCACACAACCTTAGTAAAGTTGGGCTCATGTGACCTGACCTGTGACCCTTGGTGACCTGACCTGTGACGTGACCTGGTATTGTCAGTGACCTCTAATAGCAACATATCTACTAGGCAACTGACGCCCTATCGCTGATTCTCGACAAAATGCGTTTTCCTCGGTGTTATAGCGCATTCCTTAGAAGACCCGTGAACGGTGAAACATTTCATCTTTGACCTGACCTGTGACGTCATCGGTGACCCCGAGGTCAATGAAATTTGGTTTCCTTCGACAAATTTGACAGGCCTTTCGAACGCCGTTTGAATTTTGCGGATCCGTCCAGTAGTTTCGGAGATACGAGGGGGGGGGGCAAAAAATAGCCCCCCCCCCCACCAGGTCGCGTTATAAACAGACCCCACCAGGGCGCGGGTTAAGTCGAGCTGAGTTTAGAGGTCGATGTAGCACGCCGATGTGCCCGACGGTGAACAACCTGACCGTGACACCAGCGGACAATGACCGTCGTCTGGCCGGGTAATGGATGATGACTGGTGCCACCAGCAGCCGACCGTGAATAATTGATAATCAGGCTGTATCGGCTAGATTGAATACACGTGACCTTTGTCTCGGCTTAACAGATAGACTTTTGTCACCGGATGCAAAACGCTAACCCCGGGCCAAGGCACGACCGTGAGCATGAAGAAGCTGCACCCTCCCGAGCCAGCAGGACGGGCACCGGTTCGTGTCGGGCCATGGGACTGATCTCACCGTCTCCTGGATGTCTGAGTGAGCGGCCGGCGGCACCGACCGGCCCCGTGTCCGTGGGACAGCCAACGGTCCACCCAGCAGCGGAGCATTCAGCCGGCCCAAACAGCGGACCTTCTGAGGGCCCGCAGCGGCACCCTCTGTGGCTCAGACAGGCGGGACGGTCACTGGCCGAACGAAGGAGTTCGGCCTACCGGCAGGACTGGAGTTTGAAGGGACGGCTGACACAGGGACGACTGTCTGTCACGCCCAGTGACAGAGGGACCGAAGTCGCCGTTGAGATGCGATTTGTATGGCCGTGCTTTCACTCGGAGGCTGAGACGCACCAGTGCAGTCTGCCGTTCTGGGAGTCTGTGGTAATCCTTTGCGCCTCTCCGACGTCTGAGAGGGAATTTGAGTCCCCGACGTCTGAGAAGGAATCTGAGTCCCGTTGCGGCGTGAAATCGCTGTCCCGTTGCAGTATTTTGCCGTAAGCCGTTGGTCGTGGCCTTGGTGGCAGTTGGTGCGTGAAGCTCGCCTGGTAGCACGGCGTGTTCCGTGTGTTCGGACATAGCTGTGCGGCTGTGTACGCTCGCTGTGTACGGACCATTGCGGCGCCACTGGACGCCGACAAAGCGGCTGGACGTAATTATTTATAGTCACCGTGGGACGTAATGCACAGAGCGCACGGCGGCGCCGCGCGGACAAACCTGTTGTGTGTGCAGCCGCACGGCGCGGCGCCGTGCAGGCGGTCTGCAAACAACGCAGAGTGGCCGCCGAACGCTGTCAGGCGCGCAGTGTGTCCGGCGGTACCGGGCGGCCTCGTGGTTCGGCACTTTGTATCTGTGGACACTGGAGAATGGACACTCTGCGGCCGCATAAGTCATCCGCTCTCCGATAGGTCATCAATGTTGTTGTCACCACATCTATCACGATGCCGATGTAATACCAGCACGATGCCGATGTAATACGGCGGTTCATTTCCCTACAATGTGAATAAGACTGTGTTACATGTGAAGGGATGAAAGTAACGCAGAATATCACTCCCAATACGGGAAAATGTGCTGTTTGTTGGTCGCAACATAGAGGCCGTCGGGATTCCTGCACGGCCAGCGTGAAGGGACCGCGGATGTGTGCAGCTAATCAAACGGTACATGACACTGATGCAATGCGCAATAACTGAAACAAACAATGCGACAGTTGCTCGTACCCGACATTGAACGGAATGTGATTCGGCATTGTTTGCGACAGACTCAAAAAGTGGATGTGCTTGCTATAATCCATGACGTTGAGTACTTCTGGATCCGGATCTGAAAACGCGAAACATGCATTACCAAAAAAGGTACTGTGAGCGGTATTTTGATGACTTTTTACAGTGCTATGTAGGTTTAATCTTTGGTCAACATCACATCCATTCATCATCCTGCCTTGTCCGATGTCGCACCATGCTGTCATGTTGCTCGTCTGTTCTCTGTGTCCGAGTTTCCTTTGTGCTGACCGAGCGGTCGTTGACCTGACCGGGCGCTCCGCTGATCCTCTTCTTCCTGCCCATCCCTCTGTGATCTCTGCAGGCCTGCTCTGACATCCGTCGCTCTGTATCTGAGCCGCGCCGAGCTGCGGTGTGACGTGCAGCCTTCCTGCCCGTCCGCCCGGCCTGCTCTGACTGCGCCCGCCTGCCCGCTCTGACCCCGTCCGTCCGTCTCTCTGTGTGCCGCAGGCGGGAGCAGATGCACCTATTCTCGTCGTACTCGTGCTGGCAGCTGCTGATGAACCAGACCCGGCAGGAGTCGCGCGAACGAGCCGCTCTCAGCGACGTCTACGCCAACGTCATCACCAACAAGCTCTCCCGCATCAGCGACGACCTGCAGCGCATCTACAAACGGGTTAGTTGTCTGCGGGTGGGCTGATAGGGCGGCGCTCAATCGACGCCCGTTCGATGCCCGGTTGGGGTTCAATCTATCCTCGCGCCGGCTCTCGTGATGGTAATATTTAGTGACCCGGTTTGGATGCGGTCGCGTGGGCAGCTCCGCTATTGGTTCGACGGAGATGGCTCTATCCAATGGATTCCACACTCGGTATGGAAGTGGGTCTTCCCGGTTCGTGTTGGCGTTCGGTAAACGCTCGCTCAGTATGCGCGGTTCATTTGTCAGATTATCAGCGGTCGCCGCGGGGGTGACCGGGTCGGTAACGCGTGCCGTGACGGTGTCACGCGACACGGGTGACTGAAATCACGCCCACTGATGGTCCGTCACCCGACTGGCCCGCCGTCGTCAAATGGGAGATTGGATAGGATGCCGGTGCGAGTGTTTTCTGCTCTGTGGCTGACCCGGCCTTCGGGCCACTCTTTCGGGGCTTGCATTATTGCTGTGGTCGACAAGCTAAGTCGTGGTAGAAAGATCACTGTAATTTTTAGCGGTAGCTGCAGGAGAACATGTGATAATGGCTGCAACAAAAGCCGTCCTTCGGCTCTGCATGACACAGGGGAAGCTGGCTCCAGCAGTGATCCAGGGCCGCTGCTCCTCGGCCCTCTGGGGTGCTGCATGTCCCCGGTCGGCGGCGCTCTGGGATGCTGCAGTCCCCGGTCCGCTCCCAGCGACCTCCCACCGATCACCGCCGTCCGCCGCGAACCCTCTGCGCCAGACAGAGCCGCCCGCCGGCTAACGCGGATGCAATTCCCGCCCGACACGTGCCCAGGCTGTGTGCTGCCGGAGGGGCGGCCAGTTCATTGCAGCTGCATCCCCCGCCCGGCGCGGCGGTCGGGTTCGTATTCGGCCCGCCGCGCCGGCCGGAAAATTGGGCCACCGCCCCCGGCCGGCCGGAATTGTGCTGGCGAGATTTGTGGGGCGGGGCGGCGGATTGTATTTGTCGGCGCTGCTCCGGCCGCGGCCGATCTGACCCCTGAATCGTGCTCTGTCTGACCGCTGCTCCGTGACGGCCGCCGGCCGGCCGCTTTGTTGCCCTCTGAGCGTTTCATATCTCATGGCGGCGCCGTGCTCTCGGCATACTAACGGCACAGAGGGCTGATGCAAGCTGAACCGTGATCAGAAAGGCTACGGTGGGGTGATAAGCGGTAAGTGGGTGGGGTGACAGTTATTTGCTGGTAACGGTGGGTGCAGCTACCGCCTCGCCCTGCGACTCGTTAAAGTAGCTCGGCGAGCCAGTTGATCACTCATATTCCTCCCCACACCCTACCTCGTATCACCTGTGGCGGTGTCATCAACCCCGGCTCAGCCGTGGCCGCGGCCGTCGATGCCTATCCCCCTCGAGCGGACGGTGCAACAAGTGGTGACAGCTGACATCGCAGGTCTACGGTCGATAGAGAGAGTGGTGGTTCGGTCGTCTGCTGATGAGTTTTGGGACTTTCTCTGAGCTCGTCGTTCGGTAATGACAACTGACGGTCACCAATCAGTGGTAAGTAGCTGTGGGAAGCCCTCCAGGGGACAGTTACGGATTGTGCTACGGTGAACAGAGCTCTGGCATCAGTACTGACTTCACTACCACTGCTCTAGATGTTCTCTGGCTCAGAACTGTTTTCCTTCATCCCACGCGACCTCGAAGTGCGCGCTTTGAGCTAACAGCCGTAACTGCCGCCACCTCTGGCTCGAAATCACACACGCGCGCCTCCCAAATCACACCGTGACACGCAGCTCGCGCAGCGGGGCGCCGCCGGGCGTCTCCAAGAGTCGAGAGCGGAGCCCGTGCTCACTCTAATTGTCTGCTCTGGAGCGGCACAGCTCCAGATAATGATACCCCGTGCGCTGAAAGTAGGTCTCCCATCCTGTCTACCGCTGTCGGCGCGGACTCTCGCTGTGGTTGTCACCGACCTAATGACACTTGAACCTTGCTTCGATCGGCGAGTCGATGGGTCAGAGTCGGCCTATTCCCAGTGTTGTGAGCTGATTACTGCCATGGCGAGTTTGACTGCCCCCGCGGCTGGTGGCCCGATGAACCCCATTGTGGTCTCGCTGCACCGATAGTCAGTGCCGCCGTCTGTCTGTCTGTGTGACTCGTGACTCGTGACCCGGCGCCGCGCCGTCACCCCTGTCCCCGGGCGGCTGCGGACTATTGTCCGCCGGCGGCAGCCCGGCGCCGCGCCCCTTTGCGCTGTCCGTCGGCCGCGTTGCGTGCGTGTCATGTGTGTCACGCACGTCTGTCGGGGCCTGTTTGTGTCCCTGTGGGGTAGTGTCACACCCACGGCAGTTGTCGTCAAAGGACAGGCTTGTGGCGGCTGGTCTGCGGAGGCCTCTGAGCGCCGCTGGGCGAGCGGCTGCGGCGGCCGGGCGCAGGACGCCCTTGTCTGCCGTAGTAAGGTCGGCCCGTCGCCGCCGGCTGGACGGGCTGGGCCCTGCTGGGCAGGTGGTGCTGCACGGTCCGAGATTGGCGGAGACCAGCTGCAGGCGGTGGCTGGTCCGATCGTGACGCCCTTCAGACCGCCCGACTCACGAACGGCTCACGACGAATTCACTGCCGGCTCGCGGCTGTGTTTTCTGGTGGTTTGCTGCGGGTTCATTGAGGAATGGACACTGGTCGTCTCCGGAGAGTCGTCTCGGGGGTATGATCACTATCTACGATGTTGATTTAAAAGCCGGAGTAACCCAACTGTTTGTTGCCTCATTCTCGGATTGACAGCGGGTCTGGTGTCCATCATACCCTAATATAACAGACATCGACCAAGGTCCGACCATGGAATGGTCGACTAACACTCCCGAGTTCGCATATGGCATAAACATCCTGCTGCTGGGGTCTCACTCAGCAGGCTGTCCTCACAGACCGGTCGACTCGGAGAAGCCGACACGACTTATCCCCGTCGCTCGCCAAGCGGCCGGGCTTATTCCCCAGCACCTGGCGCGGATTAAATACCGAGAAAAGTCGCCAGAAAGGTGACCGGTGCGGATGAAAATGCCGGCGCCGGCGTGGTCATTTGAAACACGCTCGGAATTAAGCCCGCGTGAGTCGAAGGATTGTGACGGTGGGTAGGATTAGTGAAATGTTCGAGTTGGAGTGCGGTAAAGACTAAAGATCCACTCAGTTGCGACGCTACGTTGACTACAGTGCATACGGCCATGGCACCATGGGCTGTCTGACTGGGACGGCTGAGATAGGCTCGGCAGAGTGGCGCAGTGGGTAGTCAGTCCCGTTCCCAGCCCCGCCGCCAAGCTGTCGCCACCGCCGCCCAGCCGCCGTCGGCCGGCCATTGCCACTAATTGATGGCCAGTGTGCGACTGTCGACTGCTGTTTGCCTACGTGCTCGGCGGACGCTGCCGTTTTTGCGGTCGCCGCTGCTGTCGTGGCGCCGTTTTCTCTCCCTCTCTCGGGTGACCTGAGGACACCGGACGTCCTCAGTGAAGGTGGAGAGTTGGGCTGTTGAAGGCAGCTGTCCAACACCTACCGCCTGCTCTGTAGTGGCACATGACACTCAGCCGGCTGCGCTGGTGGCTTCAGGCGTCAGTTGCAGCGGTCTGTCGCCGATCAGTGTTGACTCAATGTGCCGGCGCCCGCTGTGTTTGTGCTGCAGCTGTCTGGCCAGTCCTCTGTACGCGTGGACAGCCAGGGGCGAGGGCGAACACTGTGCCACGCACACTGCCGACCTACACCTGCGCCTACCTTCGCCGCCCGCCCTCCGCCTGTCGTTCGGCGGCCGCCGCCCGCTCCGTGTGGGGTCAACGCCTGGCGCACATGTGTGCGTGCCTGCGTGCGGTCCGGCCGGCCGGCGCCGACGGCGGGGCTCGCTCTGTTTGCACCGGAAGCCGGACTTGGCAGCTCGCCGGCTCGCCGGAGGGGTGCGAGGCGCGCGCCGTCACCCCGCCCCTCGGCTCTCCCCACCCCGCCCCTCGGCTCTCCCCACCCTCTGCGCTCGGCTCTCCCCACCTCCGTCCCTACCTGTCCGCGCGGCTCACCGGGCCGAGCGGTGCGCGCAGCCGGCGGTGGCTGAACCTCAGACGGCCGGCGGCTGAGACCGCCGCGGAGATTTGTGGCCACAGTGGAGTGGTGACCACGTGCCAGACTTTTTCCGGGTGTATCTCCGGGCGCGGCTGTGGTTTTCAGAGGAATTTCTTCCGTCAGCACTGTTATTCTAATTGAGATTTATTTCTGATTACATTAGCCGTACTGTTATTTAAATATGATTTACTGCTAATTACAACTTTTGACATGGCTCCAGCCTTCTGATCCAAGCAGCACGTCAACTTTTGTTTAAGTTGCATCAGCTATTGTTTTCGCCGTCCTGACCAAGCGCACGGCAATGTCGATTGGCATTCTTTGATAGTATTGTACCGATTTCCTGGATCAAACAGTCATTCTAGGAACTCATCCAACCCCGCACCTGTTGGCATGCTTTCCGCTAACAACGCTCAGCGTCACGGGGTGTTCCGCTTGCCAATGAAACTCACTTTTCATCACAGCCAGAGCTCGGACTGGCGTCTGATCTCCACGTCAGTACATGACCGTGTGTCAGTGGTCGAAGACGCTGTGCTTCGCGCTTATGTTGAAAGGTCAATATGCCTACTATTTAGGGCCATCTGTTGATGGTGCGACCATCCATATGACAGATGGTATTTAATCACTAAGAACCACTCGCCACAGAGGAGCCGCGTTTCCCGCCATGTGTATCTCCGGCCAGGTGCGCCGTCTGTTCTGCCCTTCCTACCATCCGGCGCTCCGCTTCACTGGACCAAATGTGTACCGCCGGCGGCCGACGCTCCGACTTTCTCCGGCTACGGTCCACGGGTCAGCGCGGACGCCAAGGCCGCGGGAGGCGTCACTGACACGGGAACAGCGCGTTCGTGGCCTGTCCGACCGATGCTGGGTCGGCCGGCCTGTCATATCCTCCATGGGTCGTTCCTCCATCGCCGCTCCGCTATGGGCAGTCAGTTGGTCGGCCGGAGGACGGCTCCGCTGGGCGCAGTTCTGCTGACCGGGGCAGGCCGGGGGCGGCGCCGTCAGCGGCGGGCGCAGCACCGCCCCGCGGGGCCGACCACGGAGGACCACCGTGCCGGGTGTTTATACCGAGCTCAGCGCACTGGTTAATGACTGGAGATCGCACAGCGTGGGCGCCGACCGCCGTGCTGGCTGCGCGGTCATGCGTGTGTGTTTACGCGTGTGTGGGCGGGCGTATGTGTATGTATGCGTGTGCGTGTTGACCTGGCACTGTTCTGTCAGTGGGGGTGTGATGTGCGCCTCCGCCCCTCTCCTGTCCCTCGCCATTGCTGTCCTGGCTGCCTTGACGTTGTCGGCCGCCATCCTGTGCCGGCCGGACGGGCCGTGTTATCGGCCTCAGCAACAGCCCTTCCGATGTTCGCCGGTCGGCTGGGCGACCAGTGACCACTGAGCGACTGATGTAACCTGTGAGATGTATCCGTCAGCGAGAGACATGTCGGACATATTTTCAGTGCCTTTGGTGCCAGGCGCCGTGTCAGCCCGTGTTTCTAATGTCTGAGCACATTGCTGTGTTGAGGTGTTCGTTTTTATCTTGGACCATGGACTGCCTGGTGCTAACGGATTGTCTCTTGTTTTTCAGTGCCGGCAGATCTGCTCCGAGTCCCATGAAGAGCTTTTAAAGGTGCTACATGAACTGCAAGTGTCCACCAAGACGTACAACATGTACTACACCCAGTTCAGCAACGCCGAGAACAAACTGCAGTATGTGGAGAATCAGCGAGGCAAGCTGGAGCTCAGCATTCCAAAGGAGAAGCTGGAGAAATCGCGCAAGTTCAAGCTGGTCGAGAAGGAAATACTGAAGGTGAGAGTCGCCACTACCATATGTTAGTCAGCTTTCTCCGTTATTTGCCTATCGAGAACAGGCTTCTACATATCCCTGTCGTTCAAAAATGGCACCCGCCTCTGCCTGTTGTCTTGTCTCTGGCTTGTATTGCGGCGCCGTCCGTGGCAGCGGCGTTGTCCCGCTCTGCTGAGCTGTGCACTTGTTTATAGCTCCGCCAAACGGCCCTAGGACCCCGGTCAGTGAACGCCGATCAGCTGACCAGTCTCTGGTGGAGGGGGGGGGGGGGCGTCACCGCGGGGTGCGCCGCCGGTACCGGCCGACAGATGCCCGGGACGGCGATGGTGACGGATTAACGGGCCGCCGGACGATGATGGGGCTCCCTGGCCGCTGCAGCTGTCCACCGCCGGCTGCCAATGATGGATTGGGCCGTTCAGTGCCCGCGGAGACCCGCGGCGCCCTCCGCCGCGCCCTTGCTGCCGCCGTCTCCGTATCGGGGAGGGAGAAGCCGAGTCTCCGTCCCGAGCTGTAACGGATGAGGGGAGCTTCATTCAGCTGTGGGGATTCCGGGGCTGGGAGACGGACGATCGATAGATTCAGTCCCCGACAGACGGGTCTCCGCCGCGAGTGGACCGAAGTCGCCCCCAGCTATGGCGCGGAGAGGGCGGCGCCCCTTCGGTCGATGTCCGACCGCGATATTAGCTCTCTGGCGGCCAATCGTTCCCCGTCTGTCAACACCCGGGGAAGGAATGAGAGGGGCGCGGCGGTCAGGCCGGTCACCCTCGCTATGCAGTGTATGTTGTTCCTCTCAGCAGCTAATGGTGTCTGTCGTAGCGTCTCTGTGTGCCTGCCATGTGAGCGTCTCAATATGTGTGGTCCAGCGGAAGATGTGGACCGCTCTGTCATGTCAGCGTGGTGTCCATCCTGTCATCACCGCCATTACCTATTGTCACCTGTCATCGACTGTCATCTCCTGCGTCAGCTGATGTATGGCTGCGGGCGGCGTCATACGCTACTGTCGTGACATCACCCTGTCACCGATGCCTCCACCCGCTGCCATTACCTCCCTGTCAGTGCCCGGGCCAGTGTCTGGTTTGTTTCCATTGTCCAAGAGCCGAGTCGTGCTGCGGTCCTTCCACGACAGATGGCTGTTTGGGGCTGATCTAATGAACGACCCGCGCCGTGCCATATGCATTACAGCGCGCTGACGTAGCGTTAGTGATGTGCTGATGTCAATGGCAATTGTGATGCTGGTCCGCTGTGATTGCTGTATTGTTCTTAACATGACGATACCAGGCGGTGTTGGCGGTCGTTGCAGGACGACGGGGCGGTCGAGTTCTTCTTTTTCGTCTTGTGCTCATGTTTTGTCTTTTTGCAAGCTTTTTGAGCACATACTGTTGCACCTCGTGTCTTACGTGTATGTGTCGTTGGCTTTGCATCCTATGACTCTCGAGCCACTACAGTGTTTTGCTATTATACACTGAACATCGTGCTGAATATCTAACCACTTTGGTTTTATTTTCTCCTTAGCGGCGTCACAAGTACCAGGATACCCGGCTGAAGGCGCTGCAGGCGCGCAACGACTTCCTGCTGGCGCTGGAGGCGGCCAACGCCGCCGTGCACCGCTACTTCGCCGACGACCTCTCCGACATCATGGACTGCATGGACGTGGGCTTCCACACGGGCATCGCGCGCGCCCTGCTCATGACCATCTCGGCACAGGAGTGTGTCATGGCCGGACAGAAGGCGGGCATCGACGGCCTGCACAAGACCATAACGGGTCTGGACTCGCGGCTCGATAAACAAAAGTTTATCGAGGCCAATAATAATCCGTTCATGCTGCCCAAGAAGTTTGAGTTTACTCCGCATCGGGGCGACCAGGTGGGTGTGTTTGTGTTACGATGTTTGTATTCAGAGTTTGTGGGTTGGTTTGTGAGTAGTTTGGTCATAATGTTTGTCACGACGTAATGCGGATTTGACTAACGGTATGCTCCACCCTTTCTTGGAGGCGATAATGTAGTAATACTCATTGACCGTTACATCATGTAAACCATGTAAACTGTGAACGTCATTGACGCTTGCGTCAGCATTCCGCCAGAAAACGAAACGGTAAATTGTTTCTGCTCTCTTCTGATGATCCTCTCTCTGTTATACAGAGAACCGTTCCTTGGCGGCCCAATCCAATATCCTTCCATCCGGGACCGGTCCCCTGACCGAACTCCGGTGTCTCACAGCCGTGTTTGGGTTGGCCGGCCGCCCGTCCCTGTCCTTTCAATGTTCCTACTCGTCATCTCTGTCAGCGGCCTCCCTGCTGCGATCCGGGCTGGTTATTTGACCGGCCCTCGGACCGTGAGCGGACCGTTCAGTCTGTTATCGCTGCATGCGTCACTGTGGGGGGTGACTACTTTCCTCTCAATCATTGGCCAGCTACCGTGCCGGTCCCTCCCACTCGACTTGGTCGGCGGAGTGTGCGGACGTCTGCGATGTATCAGCTTGGCTATCGGGACTACATGCCACAGGCAATCTCGAGTGCCAATGGCAATCCATTCCTCTTTCTCACGTGTGTCATCTTTCAGTGTCATCTTTCCCCTTGACAGTAGGTGTTTGTTGTTTGCACTTTAACTGATTCGGTGAGGCCTCTTATCAGGGCACCAAACCGCAGTCTATCGCCCGGAACTGTGGAGTCATCTCGTCATCGCTCGAGAGCTTCAACTTATTTACCCGACCCACCCTATTCGCCGTTCGCCTTCCCTTTTCCTCAGATCAAGTTTCATGACCAGCAGCTATTCTGTCCTCACTGTATCCGTTAACGATCTGACGGCCATGTTTGATCCTCTGAGCTTTTTAGTTTGTTTGAGTGATTGGCTGGCTTTGTGTTTTGTTTGTTTGACCCTCCCTCCTCACGTCTGACTCTCTGACGATCCCCTACCTCCTCCCACAGACTTCCCGGTACGAGGTGGACCCGGAGATCCAGGAGGAGACGCAGAAGCGGTACGACGCGCTCTGCCGGCGCATTACCTCCCTGCGCACCTCCACGGAGGAGGTGTGGAAGACCATGGAGACGGCCGAGCGCTCCCTGGTGGCCATGGTGGCGACGGATGAGATGGACGTGCGCAGTCTGTTCCGACCCACCGGCGCTCAGAGGACGTCGGACGTGGCGCTGGCCAAACTGCGGGCCAACCACGAGGAGACGGAGCAGTTCTATATGACGGTGGGTGTGCGGGAGAGGGAGGTAGAGGGAGGGGATAGAAGAGGAGGACGAAGAGAAGTGTGGGAGGAGTCTGTCATGGAATGGATTGTATAAAGTACTTGGGGGGGGGGGGGGGGGGGGCTCTTCAGGTCGGGTTGCCGCCACTGAATGGGCGACTGCAGTGACCTTAGTTTGCACCTGCTCTCGGCAAGTGGTGACGTTTCTGATGTGCATACTGATCAGCAGCAATGAGATGAGGAAACATTGTTATTTATATCGCTGCCCCTCGGAGCCCCATCGCCACCGCTCATACTTTACGCAAGCGGAATACTGAATGTGGTAACAGAATATTGCAGTCCCAAATCAAATACTCTACCGGGTGATAGGCCAAGCCATCAGCATTCCCTACATGTAACCACGCAGGTCGGAGATGGTCTGCGACAAAAACCTCCAACCCTTGCTCACGGCGCGGCTGTTTGTCGGCCGGAAGTGGCCGTTTTGGCCGGTCTGATTATAACCCGGCGCCCGGCCCGTGGGGGTATGTGTGTGTTTATGTAGCTGGTGGTAGTGTGTGTGTCTGGCGCGGAGGACGCACTAATTGGGCCGCCTGTCGCGGTGGCGCCACGTCGCTAACCGGGGTGGCTGACCTTCCATTGGGCTGTGGCGCGGTAGCAGTGGCTGAATGGCCATGTGGCGAGGGCCTCGATAATAAAACATGCTTAATCTGTCTCTTGTAGCTCACTCCCATACTAAGTTACAGTCCAAGGACTGAGCTGCTCAATAAGGCCTTGTGCAGCTTGAATTCCATTTGAAGTTTTGCTAATCCTTGAATAAATGTTCGGGGCAACTCCTTATACCGGGTTCTGATAACCAAGTAGTTAGGCGGCCGCAAAGCTCCGAGAATCGTCTCGCTTATCAACCACAGTAAAATTTATTTTCAATAACGAGCTTCCCAAAAATATAGACAAATAATCGATTGTCACATAGACGCGTGGCAATGCTACGACATGGTAATACTACCACATACCACGTTCTAAGCCAGTTAGTGTGTAAAAGTGAACAGTAAGTGGCGAAGTTTTCACTGAACAGGCTCTCAGGTTCAACGGCCGGAGCGCTGCCGTCCCTGTCCGTCTCCCACCCGGCGCTATTTGGCCTTGTACGGTGCGTCGCCGGCCGGTCGGGCACCGCTGTCTTTACCGAACTGGGCAAACGCCGAGCGCTGTTCGGCCAGAGCCCGGTATGGTGACGGCTGACCGCAGGCCGTCGTCCGGCCGTGTACAGACGGCCGCTTGGCGTCGGTCCGTAGCCCCTACCCTGGTCATTCAGCCTTGGACACAGGCGCGGTCCCCGGTCTTAGACCATAGGGTCTATGTAGTTGCCGTCCATCGACCACCAGTCGTAAGGAACCAGTGCTTTGTTTGGCGCCAGTCGCCGCCGTGGACTTGGACGGCCATTCCCCGGGCTGAGTGGGACGTGATAGGCCTTAGCCACGACTCACGGCTCACGAATCGACCGGATACGGTTCCTGGGGTTTGGGCATGGGAGGGGATGGGGTTGGAATCCGCTCCACGAATCAAGCATGTGTGTCATGAATCAAGCACGGTCGGACGGCCACTTTTGGCATATGACGCCTTTCATGCATCTTTTTCTGACTTTCTTAGCGTCACGACCTTCCTTTTGACCCTGCGTGTCTTTGATCTCTTTGCTGTACTTCACACTCTTCTCCATGCTCTGACAACTCACTTTCTCCTCCCCTTTCACAGAAATTCGCCGAGTACATCGGCGAATCGAATCTGATCGCGCGTCTGCAGGCCAAGTACGAGATCCTGCGCGCCGGTCTGGGCGAGCACACCACCCAGCTGAACCGGCTCAGTCGCAGCATCTGCGAGAAGCCGCGGAGGAAGCGCATAGGCCGCGCGCCGGCCAGCGGCCAGCCGCGCCTCTTCGGCGGCAGTCTGGAGGAGTATCTGGAGCTGAGCGGCCAGGAGATCCCGCTCATCGTCCGCTCCAGCGTCAGGGTCATCAACCTGTTCGGACTGCACCATCAGGGCATCTTCAGAGTGTCGGGATCACAGGTACGAGCGGAAGGAGGCAGGGTCGACGGCGAGAGGGAGGGGTCTATGAGAGGCCGTTGTAACAGGCTGAATTGTTGATGCGTGTGTGTTGGGAATGGGGGATGATTACCTACGTGTGTGGACGAAATGGGGATCGCCACGGGGACGTGACGGAGCTGGTTATCTACATAGTGTCATGCACACTGCGCCTGCCGGTGAGCGAGCGCCCTAGTAGTGGATCAGACCGTGCCGGGCCGCCGCTGAACAAGACAGGACGGGGTGGTCACCAGTTTATCTCGCGTCACCATGCGTTCTATCTGCCTGATTAGTGAACAGGCGTGAGGGGCGGGAACGCTGCCCCGGCGCATTTGTAATTCGGTCCGCGCCGTCGCTCAAGGTTGACTGCGACGAACCGGTTCGGACCCGGTCGGTATGCGCCGCCAGTCATGACTGAATCGAAAGCCCAGTAAAAACGACCGGTTTCCGGGCCAGTCGCTAGTACTCACCGCATGAAAAGTACATCAGGCTCATGCCGGTTTCTCTGAAAACACGGACCGTGGTTTCGTTTATGAACTGCCGTTTGACAGGCTTTCACGAAAGTAAAAGTTTAATTGTTCGTGACGGACATAGCATAGCGGTTTTGTTTTTCAGCAGTCAAGTATGTAATCAGGAAAAGTGTTTGTGTATGCGCTGACGCTATCGAAGATGACATAACAGATAACTCTGCTTTATCCTAACAAGTTCCTTTCAAAACAGCCGAGATAAGACTGTTATGATGTCATTCAGCAGACCGCATTCGTTTAAATTGTTCTACCTGCAGCATGTAGTGGTGTCATTATCTCGTAACTATCCGGCCTTTGTCTTAGTTTGCCTACTCTGTTCTCAGGTGGAAATCAACAACTTCCGCGACAGTTTTGAGCGCGGCGAGGACCCGCTGGCCGACGTCACGGACGCCTCCGACATCAACTCAGTGGCGGGCGTGCTCAAGCTGTACCTGCGCGAGCTCAGGGAGCCCTTCTTCCCGACACTCTACTTTGACCAGTTCATGGAGATTGCCCGTAAGTAGCCGCCAGAGGTGACCCTGGAACGTCTAAGTCGGTCCACTGGCAGCCTGAGGAGGGTGTTTAGATGGTATTAGCCGAGTCACAGGCCTTCGTATTGTGTACCAACTGTGAAATTGTTTCCTTAGTACCTACCAGTTTGCCATTTTTGTGAGCCTCTAGCTGTGTCGGTCGACTGCCGCGCGTCAGGGGCTGACGGGCGGCTGGCCTTCGGGCTATCTCTGAGCGGCGGAGCTTGGAACGCTGGAGCTAGAGATGCTGGGTGTCTGTGGGGTGCTAGGATACCCGCGGGTGTCTGACTTTTGGTGGTGGGTGTCTATGGTTGACTGCTGTGCTGGGTGCTTGGCGCAGCTGGGGGATGCAGACTGCAGGGTGTGGTTGTAGGGTGTGTCTGGTATTTGGCATGAGTGCAGGTTGTCTTGCTGGGTGTCTGGTTGCTAATGTACCGGATGTTTCAGTTCGGTGCTGGGTGTTAGATACGAGTGCTGTGTTTGTACGGCCAGTGTTTGGGATGGTGGATGTTGGGTCGCTGTTGCCGGGGCCCGGGGCGGCACTGGGCCCGCGTGTCCCCGTGCTGAGCTGCGCTGGTCCGCCCGCAGAGGGTCTGACGTCTCCGCTGAGACGGGCCATGTACGACAGCGCCAATGTGGTCATCCCGCGCTGCGTGCTAGAGGCGCCCAACTATAGTGAGACGTGTGGGCTGGGGCGTGTGCTGTCCTAACCGATATAACCAGCCGCCGGCGCCCAGCGGCGCGCTCGGCCGGCCAGCCGGGCCCGGGGGTCCGCGGGGAGCCCGGATACTGTAAACACACGGCCGGGGGCGGCGCACAGCCGGTCATTAGTTCGGTGTTATCACACACCACTGCGGGATGGAGCTCGCAAACGGCCGAGTGATTCCGTGGAATCAGCCGAGCGACGGGATCTGTCCAGGGGCCGGTCCAAGCCAGTGTGTGGCTAATTCTGTGAAGTCTGCCGGCCGGCTCCGCTTTGTGTTTGCGTCTCGCACTAATTCCACTGAGCTTTTCGTGGATATACACCATGACTTGCACTGACATTCGTGTGCAAGTAAACGACACAGCGACTGTGTGCTTGTCCAGATATTTGTATAACAGTGGGTTGAGCCGGACAAAACAGCCGTATTAGTTCCCCGGTTTCCCGTTCACGTTTATAACAGCTGTTTGTTCTGTTTAAGCCCGCTCAAGGATAATTTGTTGGCATGCAGTTGGCTGATCCATGCTACTAATATACAAGACTTAATGACTGGTTACCCTGGGCCTTATTAACCAAATCGCCAGCTCATGTCTCATAAAGAATGCTGGATAATTTGTCTTGCAGATAAATGCTCCAGCCTTTCTCTGGAGGTCATTTGTTTTTCGTCGTGAGCTTCAATACCACTGGTAGCTTGCTGTTCATTTATGCCGTGATTTGTAGCCTGTGTAACTCAACATTTAACAACCCGTTCGGTGATTGGCTGACTGACTGTCTCTGTGCGCTCTGATTGGCTGATGGATGTCTTCCCCTCGCTGATTGGCAGAGCTGCGCAGCGCCGATGAGATGACGGCGCGGATCCGGGAGGTGGTCGCCTCGCTACCTCGGCCAGTCTTTGTCGTCATGCGCTACCTGTTCGCGTTCCTCAACCAGTGAGTGACGAAACTTCCGTGTTCCGTTTTTATGGTAATTTCCGTGAGAATTATGCATGCAGTCGACACACCCTAAAGCCGCAACAAACGTGGTTGCCTTTGTTGGCCATACTGTGCTATGTTCTTTCTAATGGTATTTCTTTTATTTGATACTCATGATGACATAGTGTGTTTAACCACAGTTAGGTGTTTTTCTTGTTCACTTCAGTTTCTTTCAGTTTCCTACACAAACACGCTACTGCTCGAGTAAAACGGATGTTTGATTCTGCTTATCGCTGTTTTTTCTCTGTCTTTAAGCCTGTCTGAGTTCAGTGACGAGAACATGATGGAGCCCTACAACTTAGCCATCTGCTTCGGGCCGACGCTGCTGCCCATTCCCGAGGACAAGGACCAGGTGCAGTACCAGAACCTGGTGAACGAGCTGATGAAGCACATCATCCTCTGTCACGAGGAGATCTTCCCTCGCGACGGCGGCCCAGTCTACGAGAAGTACATCAGCAAGGGCCTGGACGAGCAGGAGGACATCGGCGAGGCGCCGTCGGAGATCGCCAGCACCGTGGACGACCCGGACCTGGAGCTGCCCTCGGAGGACGGTCAGTTGGGGTCACGGGCTGGGAGAGGTCGGGTCACGGACGGGCAGGGGTCGCGGATGGTCAGTCGGGGTCGCGGGATGGGGGAGATAAGGTCACGGACGGGCAGGGGTCACGGGTTTATCTGGGTCACGGCCGACTAGCCAGTGTCACTGACGGAGCAGAGTGGGGGAATGGATGAGCCTAACCATATAGATACATATATAGTGGTCTATGGCCTAACTAGTTCGGTACGGGTGGCAGCAGCTGGTGACTCAAGCGAGTCAGTATGTGAGTGAAGTTGCTGCCAAGATTTCAGATGCTAATTTGCATATGGTGCACTTACGAGATTGGGTCCGGTTGGTGTGTTATTAACGTTCTATAATATATTGGTAGGTTTTCACTAATAAGTATGACCTCGATTACCATTTGTGTGTACTGTGTATACCAGCAGAATTTGCACATATTAGCTTCATCTCCCTGTATAATTCAGACCTTCGTATGTCTTGCGTTAGACATTCCGTTCAGTCTTCAAGTCAAACATACGGTCTTGTTCAAATATACCAGATAGGAGGCATCGCAGAAAGAAATATAAGGCGTCCTCTGTTTATTTAACCACCATAAATATTCGGATGATTCCACCCCTTAGCTGGCATGTGTTTTTCTATTTTGGTTTTGTGCAGTCTCCGCGTTTTGCTAACGCTCTGCTAGTTCTAGCGCCTTGCGTTTTGTTTGTTGTTCAGCTGAGCTATTGACGCTGCCTGCTTTCGTTTTGTGTGCTCGCTAGTTCTTATGTTGCCGCGTTTTGTTTTCAGATTCCGTTTTAAAAGAAAGGGACATAAGCTTGCAGATCTTCGGAAGTAAGTATACGTCTGTGTAGTGTCTACTTTGTAATGTGTATGTGTACATTGAACATGAGGTTGTTGACATTAACTATCTCAACGATAATCGCAGAAGCTAGTCTCCTTTATCAGTCTGGCTGTTGTTCTTAAAAAGTACCCCCGACCACGGCTCAGCTGATACGTTTGTAGTCCAACGATCACGCCACTTGTAACCCGAGCTGACGCTCAAGTGAAACACCACCTTACCACAGACTGTGGTGTTCAATTTCTGTGGTAGAGCTGTGATCGACAAACCGCAGGCGACGGTGACAGTACGATATGTATGCCTCAGGTTTGTCCTTTGGCACTTTTTATATTATCATAATATCCATCGAAAATCGTAATGATGACGGCGAATTTTGTTCACTTACTATGATGGGTACTTCATTTCTAAAACAAACGGGGTATGGAAATTTACAAAAGCAGGCTAGCATTTCCTAGACATTTTTTTTAAAAATGTAACTGTGCTGCACCATATTGTGTGTACAAGTCCGTTCTGTTGATGAAGTCTGGCCTGGGTCCGTGCTAGAGGTTTACACCCCACCTCTCCCGCAGTTGGGGAACATTCCCTGTCCCTCAGTGCCCCATACGTCCGCTGTGGAGAGCATCCCGTCAAATTGGATGTGCCGACTCATGTACCAAATGGAAATGGTTCAAGTGCAGACGGCTGTATCTTGTTTTAATACCGGCCCGGGTCCCGTTTTGTGTGGTGGGAGATCGCGGCTGCTCGCGGCCGACTATGAAAAGTGATGTGCCGCGACCAGATGTGGCATGCTAGGTTCTACCAAGGGTTCTACATAAAACAACACGCGTAATCTCCGTAGTCCGTTACAAAATGTAAGTTAGTCTGCCTAGTGCCTATCTTGACTTCTCGTTTCACTGCTGAACCATCCACATGGCATACCCATCCGTCCACCGTCTCACCCATCTTTCCACCCACTAACCCACCTATCCACTTACCCATCCACTGGCCACCTGACCGCCCTCTGACCCACCCCACCTCTCCCGCAGAGAGCGAGCAGCTGGAGGCGGTAGCGCAGTTCGACTTCACAGCCCGGTCGCCGCGCGAGCTCAGCTTCCACTGCGGGGACGTGCTGACACTGTACCGTCAGGTGTCCTCTGACTGGTGGCGAGGGCACTTCCGAGGCCGGGACGGCCTGGTACCCGACAAATACATCATGCTCAAAATCAGGTGGGCGGGCGGGGATGGATGCGTCGTACGGGTGATAAATATGGTGTTGAGTTTTAAATGATAGCTGGGTAAATGTGGTGTTATCTCAGTTCGTGTGTTTGTTTTGTATACGAGCTGATGTTTCGAGTTTATCTATTGCTGCTGGCATTGTCTGCAAATATGCCGCAACGTAGTTTATCCTTCTTAGAAAGGGCTTGACCGCCGATCTAAAGATAAATGGATAATGGATATTTGCAAGATTACGATAGTTGCGGTCATGCCAAAATGCTAATCGGCGCTTTTTTCTGTGGTTTTGACCAATTAGCGTCCGTAGTGTGTGGACCCCAGCTGGGTCCCGTGTTGCCGCTGTGACCGCGACTATCCCCCGTCAGGTGACTGACACTGGCTCCTCCGGCAGGGACGAGGACCGCAGCAGCATGTCTGACTCGAGCAGCCAGCCGCGAGCCTCCGTGTCGAGCGAGTGTCCGTCGGCGGTGCCGGCGGCCGCGTCCACCCCCGCGCCCCCGTCCACCCCGTCCTCCACGGGCTCCGGGCCGGCCCCGGAGCCGCCCGACGTCGCCGAGCCGCCCCCAGAGGTAACCGAGACCCACGTGTAGTCGGCCGTCCGTCCTCTGTTCAGCCCAGCCCCACCGTCACCCGCCCCACCCCACCCCACCGCCCCGGTCCGGTCCGGCTCTGTGTCTGTCTGCTCGGTGCTGTTCTGTTCTTTTGGGTTCTGTTCTGTCGTAACGGCTGCATGGAGGGTTTTCTCTATATCTCTGGGTCCCCTTCTCGGGAGATGTGCCTTTTGCACGATCTGTGGCCTTTGATCTGCGTAGCCGCCTGCTATTTTTGCACCAGAGCGCGGCTGTTTTTTAATCGTGAGACGCTGGGGTGTGTAATGCTACTTACTGCCTTGCGCTACCGCAATGCAGGCTGGGGAGAGCTATTTTATCGCTAATGCAACGAGTTCGACGTTTGCTGCCGATGCAGCGTGACCGCTGCATCGGCGAGAGGGGTTTTACACTGATACTGATGTGATATTTTGCCGCTGAGTGGCGTGTGTGTACCTGACCTGAGATGCCGTGTGCCGGTGCCGGATGGTGACGCGTCTCTAACCCACCGTAGGGCGTGCGGCGGCCGGTCCGGGGCGGCACCCTTCCCCCGGCCGACCCGTCCCCTCCGCTGCCCCTGGCCGCCTCGCTGTCGCTGCCGCCGGCGGCCGGGCGCCGTCCGTCGCGGCCGGCGCTCCAGCACTCGGTCAGCTCCGGAGGCTCCGGCGCCGGACGGCCCGGCCACGCCGACCCTGCGGCCGCCGACCCGGCCCCAGCCGACGCTCCAGCCGCCGAGACCAACGGAGAGGAGGACGCCGCCGCTGCCGCGCCGGCTGAGGAAGTCACCGTGACCTCTGGCGAGGTGACCGTGAAGGTAGCGGCCGGCGCCGAGCCGTCACCAGAGCAGCAGCAGGAGCACACGTTCGGAGCCGTGACGGAGGTGGCAGTGGTGCCGGCCGAGGAGGAAGGCCCCGCTCAGGAGGAGACGCCGGAGACCGTGGGACCAGCCGCGCCACAGCCGGGCACACCGGTGGACGACCTGCCGGTGACGCCGGCTGCCGGGGACAGTCCCAGTGCGGGCGACATGTCGGTGACCTCGGGTCACGGCAGCGGCCAGTCGGGTGACCTGTCTGCGGACCTGTCACTGTCGGGGGTGTCCGGCACCACGGACACTCCCTCTGGTCTGTCCACCTCCGACCTGGGACACTCGGATGACCCGGACCCGGAGACGGGCACCGGCGAGCTCGACCAGGCCATGCGTCAGATCGAGCTGGTCACGGAGACGCTGCGCGCCGCTGAGCTGTCCGGGGACGCCGCCGTCACGGCCGGTTCCTCTCCGGAGAGGGCCGAGCAGGCGGCGGCGGGCCGCGGCGGCCGCGCGCCCGTCTGCGCCGCCTGGGAGTCGCGCCGCCAGCCGCCGCCGCTGCCAGACTCGTCGGCCAGTGTGCGCTCGCGGCGCGCCCTCTGGGAGACGCTGTCGGCCGGCGGGCCGCGCGAGCGCACCTCCTCCGGCGAGTCGTCCGGCTCGTCGGCGTCGTCCGTGTCCCCGGCGCCGCTGGCGGTGCGGCAGCGCGGACCGAAGCACACGCCCGACCTGGTGATGGATCTGCCGCCCGAGTCGCAGCGGCCGGCGCGCGGCTCGCCGCCCGACGCCGCCAGCACGGCCGCCGAGACGTTCGCGCGCCAGAACCAGTGCACACTGCGCCGCAGCGGCCACACGTCGCCGGGCACGGCGCGGCAGGCCGCCGGCGGCACCGAGCGCGAGTCGGCCCTGGCGCCGCCGCCCGGGGCCGTGCCCGTCGAGCCGCCCGTGGTGCCCGCCGGGGTCAGCTCGTTCAAACCCAGGGTCAAGGTCAAGCCCCAGGTGGCGCAGAAGCCCAAACTGTCGCCCGAAATGCTGAAGAAACTGACTGACGCATAATGTGTTTCTGACTGAATATGCGCCGCGTGTTGTTGTTTATCCGCTGTGTGCTGGCGCGCGCCCGCGCGGGGGCGCCAAATATGTTGGCGCGCGCTGTGCCGACCTGGCCCTGCGCCCTGTTGAGTCATTTATATACTGAGGTGCGCGCATGTACTGTGTACATTTGTGAATATAGAGGCCGGGAGTGAGGGAAGCCTGACAGAGAGGGACAGAGAGCTAGTTTTCAGTCAAGTATATCCAGCCATATACTCGGCGAGTGCTTCCCGACCACTTTCTGCGTCTGACCGTTTTGATACTGGGTCTCGGCCGACCCGCGCTGGGTGATATGCGCCGCAGTCATGTCCGTAGCGTAGGCGTCATTCAGTGGAAAATAAAACGGCATGTCATCAACCCTGTGGTGTTTGTAGGGGAAGCGAAGGGAGGGCGGACGATCGGGCCGGTGAAGAGGCTGGGCGGGGTGGGAGGGGGCGGAATCGTGGGGTCGATGGACTGGTCTCCAAAATTTGCGTATTTGGAAATAACTTGATAATGGGAAGGAAATGGGCGAGAGTGAAGTATTCGAGTGATAAATAACTGACAGCGACCAGCCGGTCGAGTAGGGTTGGTAGGCGATCTCGTGTGGTGGCGAGGGTGGTCACCGGTCGGTGGGTGCCGTTCGAAGGACGGTGCGTTCTAGTCGAGTAGTGGATGGACCGCATCGTAAGTTCCATGATATAACGCTTGCATTGATCAGTTTCATAAGACACATGTTCGCTGGCAAATGTAAACGATCTCAACGCAATACGCAAGACTCCGCACCAAGCTCCAGGGGAATAAACGAACACCGTCACCGGAACAATATCCAGAGAAAGAAGTCTTTGAATTTGGTAGGACACAGTGGATGCAAATGTGACGCACCTGCGTCAAATAGGACGCAGTGAATATGCGCTGCGCCCGCCGCTTATAGCTTAGGTGAATTTATATCGGATTTATCGGGATTTATATCAATCAATATTGTACTACCTTGGGTGGATTACTTACTTTTTCATTTTATTTTCTGCATTTTCTGTTGATCTATCCTCTGTCATGTAGATGAGTTCGTTTTATATATTTATATACGAACTACCTAAGTGTTTTTCTATGGGTTTGCTTTCATTGAACTGTTGTGTCATTGTGTGAATTAACTTTGCGTAGCTGCTTGCAAAATTCATTGAATTGAATTTAAACGCTCAAATGTTTCTCATTTATTTTGTGGTTATTTACACCTTTAAGGCGCATTTTCAAAAAGTTAAAGGCTAAATTTAAAAAGCTTACGTTCAAAATTGAAATGCATGTGAACGTTTTGAATTCGATCTTTACCTTTTTGAAATTGCGCCTTCAAAGGTGTAGACCCTGTTTCATGGCACTGCTTTATAGCGTGCTACGCCTAGTGCTCTATTGGGTTTCCATGGAAACATCGCCCACTGCCCAGACCCTTGCAACGCTGGTTACTGAAAGGCCAAGACTAATTCCGCACCAATACCTTCAACGCTATGTGTGGACTGTGGTGCACAGCCAGTCTGCAAAGTGAGGCTCACAGGTCGATGAGGCGCACCGACCCAAGCTGAAAATCCGCACCAACCCTTCAAACGTAGCCGGAAAATCTGCACCAAAGAGTAATCTCACTGAGAGTACAAAAAATCCACACGAAAGCTGAGCGCATCTCATTCACCAATGATGCTGAGTGCAGAATGCAACAAACTCAGATTCTTTCAATGCAGCCTTTTAGCTGTGTCAAACCTACCTGATAAATTGTTGGCATTTGACTGCTTGGAGCGGCAGAGTGGTGATTTTCTGGCCCTCTCATCGGCCATGCTCATCTCTCTCACACTACCGCAATGGGCCCATGATAACTGATAAGTAATAATGTGAGCAGTTCATGCCTATTATGAGGGACGAGCAGAAGTTAATTTGAGCAAGTTGATCATACAGTCACCATCATAACTGATTTCGATTTTTTAGCCTGGCGGGCAGCGGCTGAAGGCTCACATGGTAATCTTTTAAATTGCATGCCTGTTTACACTCATTTTTAGTTTGGAACGATATGTATAGTTGACATCTTTTGATTTATTAAGCTTAGTTAAACTTGGCACAGAACTGCTGACTGCACCACACACAATGCACATTTTATCCATTAAAATGTTTAATATAACAATTTTTCAGCTCACTGGATTCATCTACTGAATAGAAGTGATTGTCACTAAAAGTGAAAGGCTGCAAATATCAGAGAAAAGTTCAGGACTATCATGGCTTTATATACATCAGACTGGACTCCAATAAACGATGACACTTTCTTCAGGTAAGGTTGCTTCTATCAGGGACTGGCTGACATTCTTCTTTTCGATTTTTACATAAGTTTATAAAGTTCATAAGTGTTAAACGCTTATTCAACGATTTTCAGTATCCAAACCTGCTATTTTCTAGGTAAAATTGTGACTTGCAATTTGCAACTGATATATCTTACAATAATAAGTTTTGCACTGCAAAATGCATTGTAACTTCTATATGTTGCTTCTTCATAAATGTGTGAAGATCCTCACATTCTATATCCTCTGGCCCTGGTCAGCTGCAGTGCCAGTGACTCCTGTCCACTGTCCCATCGTCCCCAGGCGTCACGAGCTGTACCCCATGTCGTGGGCCGAGTGCGACTGGACGGAGCGCACGCTGGTCTGTGTGGCCAGCTCCGGTGGGCCGATCGCTGTCTGCCGCGACGTCTCCAACTCTGCCGTGCCCATCATGATCTACAACGGCGCCGGCGAGAGCCTCGGATTGGCCAAGGTCAGTCAGGGCAGCATGGTGTGGTAGATGGGGTGGGGCTGCTAAGCACATTTTTTAAAGTCTAGACGCATATCTTCCTCAGTGCTGGACGCTGCTTGTCTCTGTTTTCCGAATTTGCCATGTACGTCCTACATAATTGTACCATGGATGAAGTATTCCTGATCCATGATTTTACATTGTAGGTATTATCCCGAGCTATTCTGAAGAAACATTTGGCGATGCTTCATCTCAACCTTTTCACCTCTATGAGCTGTAAAATGTCATCGGAGAGAAAGTGAGGGTTCATGATCAGTCGCGGTCCATGACGGACCACAGCCGGAGATGACCCCAGAGACCCCTCTGCCCGCAGTGGAATGGTCAGCTGGCCGGCGCCGGCTGGAGTGACGACGAGCGCCTGGTGCTGGTGGACGCGGCCGGTCAGGTCTCCGTTTACGACATGTTCGGAAAGATGGAGCGCTCACTCAGCCTCGGACAGGTCCGTAGGGAGATCAGCCTCGGTGACACTCTCAGTGATCGTTTTTGAATTCACATTTTAACTCTGATTTAAACAAGAATTTTGGCTAAAACGCCACCTAGCTAAAAATAAAATTGAAGTTTATGCATTGCGTTCGAAGACGGTGCTATGGTGATGATAACATTTTTTGCGCTTGTTTGTGTGTTCTTCGTGTTGACTTGTCTGCTGCTTCATTTTGCCTCACTAGTGTATTTCCCATGACGCTCCATGCCTCGCCTGACCGTTTGATCTGTCGGCCGCCGTCCGCAGGAGGTGAAAAAGTTCACGGTGGAGTCTGCGTCCGTGTTCCTCAGTCACCAGGGCACCGGACTGGCGGTGCTGTGCCGCAACCAGCGCTTCTACATGACCACATCGCTGGAACAGCCGCTCGTCAAAAAACTGCCCGACGCACCCGGTACGTGTAGTTGAGGTCGAGGGGTAGAGTGAAAGCGTGGCCGAATGAGGAAGATGGGTACATTGGTCAGCTCAGCTATGCAGTACTTTGTGATAAGTATCGTTGCAAATGCGAGCTATGAATACATGGTTTTATTTTACTTGTGTCAAAGTCAACTTGGATTACCTATCGTAAATTTCTAGTAAAATCGAAGACATTCTCTCTTGGTGCTGTCAGCCGGTTGAAGCATGTGGCAGCGACGGTGTATTCGGCCGTCGGTGTTTTTAGTTCGGTGTCTGTCCGGTAGGTGGCAGCGGACCTCCGAGCTGCTGGGTGACCACGGCCGACCGGTACCGCTCAGCAGTGCTGGTGGCCAAGGGACTGGAGGTCTCACTTCTGGAGGCAGACTCCAAGGCTCAGCCGCTGGTGAGTGTGTGATGAGAGATGGTCAGATGTGAATTACATGGGACGGGAAATAATGCAGTGCCTGCAGCTAAAACTCATCTGTTTTATGAGCTATAACTTCTTTGGCGAACAGCTGCCATCCCAAACAGCTACTGGCCTTACCACACTCAATTCTTGACATTATTTTATTGGCTTGTCAGTTATTGTACGCGTCGTGTTCATTTTTCAATGATTGTGCCTAGTTTCCCGGCTGTGCCTAGTTCCACCCTCCCGTTAGGTCGTTCTGGCTCGATATACTGCTCGCATACGTCTCGTTAATTTCGCCCCGCTCCTCATCCTGATTACATTAGTCGCCTGTAACTCACCTCCCCGCCTTTTCAGGCGATAACTCTGCCGGCGGCGGCGCAGCGGGTCACGCAGCTAGTGACGAACCGCGCCGGGGACCTGCTGGCGGCGCTGACTGACTCGGGTCACCTGGTGCTGACGTCACTGGACCTGCGTCAGACGTTCTGCACAGTGGACACAGGCGCCCGCCAGCCGGCCAAACAACTCCAGTGGTCAGTGATGATGAGGTCTAGGGAGGGGAGGGTGTTAGAGTGAGGGAGTGACTAACTGACCGTTCAGAGAGCGTTCATTTATCGTCCAATCCTCTCAATGCAACCAGCTGCTAGTGACACTGGTTCTGCTAATCTATGGCTAAGATGGATTCATTACTTAGATGTAAAGCAAGAAGCTGTGTGCATATTTTATGGACCCATGGACCCTCTGTTATGCATATTGACGTCTATCCGACAAGCAGCTGAATGCTGTCGGGTGACCAGTCTGCAGTTCGGGCGCTCTGTATCGATACAATCACAATCAACCTCGTCGCCGAATATCATTTGTCCCGTCACCACCATGCCGTCGATGCGCGCCCAGGTGCGGCTCGTACGCGGTGGTGGGCTACTGGAACAGCAGTCTTCTGGTGGTGAACCGGCGCGGGGAGACCATCAAATACGGCCTGGACGTGCCCGGCCAGCTGTGTGCCGAGTGTGACTGCATCCGACTGGTGACACCCTACAGCCACGAGCTCATCGAACAGGTGCGCGCCGCTGCGGCAGGGAATGACTAAAATTTATGCTCACCTTGAAGCTGGTAAATGTTAGCAAACGGCTCGTGTCTTCGGCTGTCGTAAGTACCAATGCCGTAGGTAACCACGTGCATTTTTTTCTGTGGAGGGTATTTGCGGATTGCTTTTCCATCTCCAGTCCCCTGTGGGCTCTGTGCAGGTATAGAGCAACTCAGTGGTCATGTTCCGTATCG